TCCCAAGGTTCATCTGCGCCCCCAGTGACTTGTCTGCTAAGCCGCCTGCAGACTTGCCTCCCTGCTCCCTCCGCTTGGAGCAGAATGCCAGCTCCGCGATGGTCCTGCTCTCTCCCGGGAACTTAGGACATTACATAGTAGCACCTCCCTAAATGTTGGGTGAGTCAATGAAATAGAATCTGAAGGAGTTTCCACAGGAAACAAGTGACTTTTTTTTTTTCAAAATCACATTTTTATTTTAGAATAATTTTACATTTACAAGAGTTGCAGAGCTAATACAGACTTCCCATAGGCTTTTCACCCAGTTTCCCCTAATGTTAACACCTGGAGTGGCTTATTTAAGTTAATTTTGTTCCTTTGACACAGCTGCTTCTGCAAAGGCCACTAATTTTCCTAAGGCCACAAATTCTTTAACCTTTGCTTAAATTATTTGTAATGATCATTTGAAGAAGCCCTCTTTTTTCATAAATACAGTGTTACATTTGACATCATGCTCCCTTGCAAGAAGTATCAATAATCATAAAACATGTTAAGAAAATAACTGTGCTCATTTGAAGTTTAATAAATTTATAATATCAAAAAAAAAGATTAGTCATATACCATGATATCACACTGACTCCCAAGTGAAGATGTGTAAAAAGTGCTCTGAGCTCTTAATAGATACTATATAAAATACGAGGCAAGTGTGATATATCGAAATTCAGGCATTGGAAGGAAGGTCCTCTTCATTTAATCTGTAACTAGGACTCAACTGTTAATTCTACAGGTCCTAATAATAATAATAATAATAATAATAATAATAATAATAATAATAAAATATTCCTTTCTTTGTATTTTATGGGTTTTCAAACTGCTATTAAAGACGGTTGGTCAGCTGGCTCTGCATCGTTTGGCATTTTACTGCTCATGCTCTGCGAACACGGGCAGCCTAAGAAGACGCAGATGGGCCTACGGAACACAGACCCTGGCAGCATATGGTACGCATTTAATTCTAACAAAGTGTGTTTCTTAACCTCTGGGTGTCGCTCCACCATTCCTTTATAAGGCTACTCGTTTCCAAGAAAGATCCCGTTTCCAGACCCAGGACAACAGGCCCCACATGTGTCGCGCGGCCATTCAGTTGCACATAAAGTGTCTCAATGCCTTTAAGCAAGTGCAGTTAGCACACGCTTCGTGGCACCATCATGGGGGGCTGGGAACTGTCTCCCCCTCGATGGTCAGCCCCTTGAGGGCAAGGGTCATGCTTGACATTTCACCCTGTTAGCTGCACGGGGCAGAGTAACAGGACTGTCATGCGCATGGCACCATGCACCCTATACATTGCTCTGACGGGGACGCCCCCAACTACATTGTGACCTTTGCCACCTCATCCACGTGAGGCTGGCAGAGGCTAAGCACTTAGCCAGGATCACAAACTAACAGGTAATGTTTTCCTCTGGCCCACAACAGGAAAGTGCCCATTCCTTGTATTGCACTGCTGTATTTTCTTCTTCTAAGGCTTTATTACAAGAATCAACGCCTATTGATCTTCCTATTAAGATAAATGTCCCATATTGCTTCATATATACATGTGCGAGGGCTTTCCAAATACTAACTCATCTAATCCTCCTAATATCATGGCGAAATAGGTGCTGTTTTTATCCCTAGTTTACAGATGAGGAAACTGAAGCACAGAGAGCGTAATTCATCCAAACTCGCAAAACTGGTAAACGGCGGCAGTGAGGTTTGAACCCAGAAAGTCTGGCTACGGAGTCTGTGCCTTTAACTTGTTCTGCTCTCTTCTGCTTGAATAAGAATCTACAAAGATCCTTGCTCAGGACGTGTGAGTGGTTGTTTAACAAGGCGGGGAAATGTGTTTACTCCTCCCTGTGTGATTTATTTGATTATATTCTAAAACCTTTCTTCATGCCAATAGAGCTCCATGTAAGTACTATACTAAATTTTCCTGTACTGAAGGCATATGCGATGGTTACCTTGACTGACACATAAAATACCCAAAACAAAATACCCCAAGACTTGAGGATTTTTTGTTCTATGAATTAGAGACATGAAAGGATTGCCTGGGCATCAGAAGTGTTATAAGCTCACATCTGTAAGTCTTTCTTGGAAATTTCCATATTTCTCATACAGGAATGTTCCCTGTCTGAAATATTTCAGTGTTCACTCTATATCTGAGTTTGAAAATTATCTAATCCTTTTTAATTTCTAATTCTCCACTACTTTTTCTCCACACACAGGACAAGCACTTGCTTTCAATATGATGTTTAACACTTTTTATGTTTTTATTTCAGTCAGCTTGAAAACATGCTAGTATACATGCAAACATATTGTAAAGGTTTAAAATTCGGGGTGTGTATACATATATCAACAGGAGTTATGAATTATGTATATTCTGAGCCTATATAAATTAGATTTTGAAGAACAAGCATCAGAGTACTCAGGCAGGTCATAATAAGAGATTCCATCTGAAATGTAGAAACTACCTTGAATAAATTATCCGTAAGTTAACACTCTCATTACAATGACGTATTTATTATTTCTGGGTTTGTGATGCTCCTTTAATGCACTCTGACTAACTGTTCTGATGGCACCATAAGAAACCATTTCAGACTCCCCCCCCATTGAAATTTAGCATACTTTATTTACATTTGAACTAAAATAATTTAAAATAATGTGACATTAAACACAATCACCCACTTCCCAATGTGGAATACCATTTTCTTCTGCCCAGAAACATTTAATTAAAGCAGGATACAACTTTAGTAATTCCTTTCACACAGAATGACTCTAGAATTAATAGTCCCTTATAAGACTGTTTAAAAATTGGGAGACTGACAATGAAAACAATCTTAAATGCTTTGTTTATGTGATGAAAAGGAGTGATCCCTTAATTCCCTCACACACATTAAACTGATTTCACAGAGTTTCTGTGCTGGTGTTTAACATAGTCAAGTGCTTGAGGTTATGTAGAATAAACAATCTTGAGATCTTATTGCAAATGTTTGCAATTTATGATGTAAACTGATTTGTGAAAAAAAAAATAACAGGATCCATGTCACCGAAGCCAAAAAGGCATTTTTCAGAAATCAAAATAGGTCCGAAATCCGAGCACTGTGTTATACTAAAGTATTACCATCTGAGGAGCTACAAAGTTCTAGGTTGGGGGGGGGGGGCGACAACACTCAGAATAGACGCTTATCAGTTCCGCTCCAAGCAGAGGCCTCAGTCCTTCAGACCCTTGGGTCCCCCAGGCCCTTGGATCCCCCAGGATCCCCCTTGGATCCCCCAGGCCTTTGGATCCCCCAGGATTCCCCAGGATCCCTCTCGGATCCCCCAGGCCCTTGGATCCCCCAGGATCCCCCTTGGACCCCCCAGGCCCTTGGATCCCCCAGGCCCTCGGGTCCCCCAGGATCCCCCAGGCCCTCGGGTCCCCCAGGCCCTCGGATCCCCCCAGGATCCCCCAGGATCCCGCAGGTCCTCCGGTGCCACAAGGTGCTTCACCGCCTGGTGCCCGGTGGCCTCTTCTAAGGGGAAGGTTCTGCGCCTCGGGAGCCCCGGGGATGGAGGGAGCCGCGGGTCTCTATCTCGTTGGTCATTGAGTTCCTGGCGCAGCGACGCGCCTGTCGGGCCTCCCGTGGGTTCCAAGCGCGGACTTCGGTGGGCGCCCGGGAGCGGCCGCGGGGGCCCGACGGCGGGGGAGGGCGGCTGCGGGGCGGCGGGGCCCGGACCTCCGCGTGCTTGGGCGCCCCTGTCCCCGCGGCCCCCCCCCGGCCCCGCCCCCCCCTGCGCGGCCCCGGGGAGCGTCCCGGCCCCCCAGGCCCAGCGAGGCCGCGCGCCCCGCCCCGCCCCGCCCCCGCCCCCGGGCGTCCGGACCTCGGACTTCGGGCGCTGAGCCGCGGGGACGGGAGGGGACGGCGGGGACCCCGGGGACAGAGGGGACAGGCGGGGACCCCGGGGACAGGAGGGGGCAAGAGGGGACAAGAGGGGACAGGAGGGGACAGGAGGGGACAGAGGGGACAGGCGGGGACCCCGGGGACAAGAGGGGACAAGAGGGGACAGGAGGGGACAGGCGGGGACCCCGGCGCACTCCCGGGCCCAGGCCCCGCGGCCTCCGACCCCCTCCGACCCCCTCCGACCCCTCCAGGCCCCGAGGCTGCAGGGCACCGCGCCCGGGCAGGTGTCTGCACGGGGACGGGGACCGGGACGGCGACAGCCCCGCGCCCTGTCGCCCGGGAGCCTCGCGGGCCAAGGCCGAGAAGCTGGAGAGCCCCCGGGTCTCCCAGGGCGCAGCTCACCCGGGCGGCGACCCGAGCACCTGCGAGGGCCCCGGGATGCTCGCGACACCCGGGTCTCCGTGGAGGGTCCCCCGGCCGGGCCCGGCGCGTCTTCACGGTCTCCACCCGCCCTAAACGGGCAGCGCCTTCGGGGTTTGCAGTGAGATTTCCCCCGGGGCGAAGGGGGCAGGGGAGGGCGACCCCGGGGTCCCACACACGGCCCCTGCTTTTCTGGTTTTCCCTGAATTTAACCGACGAACATCTCTGTGGGCCCAAGGGCTAAAGCGGAGCGGGAGGAGGGGGACCCGCCCTGCCTTTTACTCTCCCCCCAAACCTTCATCACTCCCTTTGGGGGGGGGGTCGACCTGGGGCGCAGGGTCCCTTAGGCCACAATTAACCTACGGAGATCTGGCACCGTGTGATCCCATTTCCCTTTCTCCCCAGACTGTTCCCCGGAAAACTGCGACGGTGAAAGTGCAGCAAAATGAGGTGGGGAGTCTATTCTATATTATTTTACATATTATCTGTTCCCTTATTGATTAGGTGTAAAATCAATCCGGCGTCTATGCTGGGTGGGTAAATAAAGGGGGTGGGGGTTGAGCTCCAAGAGGCCGGGAGCCCCGCGGCCTGCACTCCCCGCCCGTAAGAGCTGCACCGAGCAGCAGAGGCCAGCGCTTTTCCGAGCTGATGTATTCGAGAGATACATACACATTAATCAAAAAGGAAGAAGGAAAGACTATCCCGGATAGTTTAATAGGAACAGGAACAAAGATGACGCGAACCCCATCAAATGAAACAATACTATTTTCATTCGATTGATCGCAAAGTGTCTTCAATTAATAACTTGGCACTTATTTAAAAGGTTTAACAGAGGTGAAATCGAAACATTTTGTACCAACAACACATCATGAAATAACAGCATCTTCTTCTGTTTAAAATAACTTAATACACTAGAAAAAATATGGCAAATATAAATAACTTTGTTTTCATGGAGAACAAATAGTTACAAAGCTCAACCGTATACCAAAGTTCAGTCAAAAGAGCTTTTCCTCTTTCTTGTAAATTAGAAAAAAAAAAAAACCCAAAACAAACAAACAAAAAACAAGACTAAGGCGGCTTTCTAGTGTTTGGGATACAGATTGCTTAGTCCAGGGTACCCCACTTTAAATAGTTACATGAATTGAAACAAAAAAAAATTACTTGAATATACACCTTTGTGAGATAAAATGCAAATGTTGAAAGTCAACCATCAGTTCACACATCATAGCCAAAATAAACTTTGTTCGTGTGTATCAACATATTTTACACAAACCTACTGCCTGTATGGAGTTGGGTGTTATTTAAGGTGAGTGTGACGGGATAGAGAGGGGGAAGTAAAGCAAGGTTCCCAAACGGGACGTCAGGAAGTCAGCAGGAGGGAATACAAGAAAGGAGGGAGGAGAGGGGACTGACACTGATTGAGCGCCTACTGTGTGCCGGGAGCCTTGGAGGCGCTGTACCTTTATTATTTCATTTGGTCTTCGTCTCTTTTTCCTTTCCCCACATTTTCTGCCCACCTCCGTCTTCTTGGGACAGAGTGTAAATTTTTTCCCCTTCCGACCTTTTTCTTTTGTCCGACAGGATCAAAGACGGGGCGAAAAAATTATAGATTTGATATATATCAATTTCCAGATGCTTTCGGTATTGTTTTTCGTACTGAAGATGAACATGGAGTAAGTGCACGTGAGTAAAGCAGGGAGCAGAGGGACGTCATCAGTGGAACACAAGGAACATGCAAAACCGGAGTCACGGTCAGCAGTCTGGGCAGTGCTGCTGTCATAATTTCTCAGAGAAATCATTGTCTGCGGCAACATTTTTTGTGTTAATATCATTTTTCTCCTCTCCTCGTTTTGATACTGTCTTTCCCTCTTCTTACTCTTCCATCCGTGGTGGTGTTTTTTTTTTTTTAACTCAAAGCATCTGATTCAATGTAAAAGGAGGCCCGCCTCTCTTATCAAATTTCTTGTATTAAAGTGAACTTCGCAGAAAAAGGTCAGTTTCAAAACCTGTGAACTTCCCAGCTGCGCACTTTTAAAATCTTAATTCTTTAAATAAGTATACCTCTTCCTTCTGTTTTGCCCTTTTTTGGGGGGGGGCCCATTTAAAAAAAACAAAAACAACAACAAACCATACCATACACTTTAAGTTGGTAACTCCCCTCTCCCCCTCCCACCCCCTTCCATTCTCTCCATTCTCTCAAGATTCTCGTCCGGGTTATTATTTTTTTCCATATTTTCAAACGTATAAAATACTTTTTTCTTTAAATGTTTTTTTTTTTTTTTTTTTTTGCTCCTTGGTTCTTCCTCCGATTTCGACTTCTGCCAAATAGCAATAAGTTCCCTTTCTCTCTCTCTCTCTTTTTATTTCTTTTCTTTCTTGTTTATCTTTGCTACTTTTTTTTTTTTTTTTTTTTTTTTGCTTATTTTTTATTAACAGGATTTTTTTTGTTTCTCCGCGAGTCCGTGGTGGCAGCTGTGCGGTGGCCGGGCGCCTGGGCTCTCCGCAGGCCGCCCCCGCGCCCCGGGCAGGTGCGCGCTCGCCCCGGGGCAGGTGCGCGCTCGCCCCGGGGCAGGTGCGGCCGCAGCCGGAGCAGGCGCCGGGGTGGGGGGGCCGGAGGGGCGCGGAGGTCGAGGCCGGGGCGGGCGCAGGGCGCAGGGCGGAGGGCGCAGGGCGGAGGGCGCAGGGCGCAGGGAGGGCGCGGGCCGGGCGAGCAGCGGGCGCGGAGGGGGCGCGGGGCGGCCGCGGGCGTCACAGGCCCAGGGCGGCGGCGTGCTTTTTGGCTTTCAGTCTGAGATCGGCGATGCTCGAGTTCTTGCTGGTGGTCTTGGCGGCGGCGGCGGCGGCCACCACGGAGGCGGCGGAGGCCGAGTCGGCGGCCAGGGTGGCCAGCGGCAGTCCGAAGGGCGGCGCCGGGAACATCATGTAGGGCGCGTGCGCGGCCAGGTGCGGGTGCAGGTGGTGGTGCGCGTGCGCCACGGCGCTGTCCAGCTGCAGCTGCGCCTGAACCTGAAAGGACAAGGGCGTCACGTTGCAATGACTATCCTAGGGTGACAACAGAATAGAAACAGAGCATTAACGGCGTCCAGCTCGGCGAGGCGGGGGGCTGGGGCTGGGGACTGCAAAGGGGAGTCTGCTCGACCCCCCGCGTCTGTGGCTGAACCTGGGGCGCCCCGGGGACACTCGGGAGCGCCAGAGGCTCTGCGACCGGCTCAGCAGGAATGTGCCCCCCCTCCCCCGGGGGTCGGGCCCACCAACCCCGCAGGGTGGGAAAGCCTCACCCTCCTCGGAATTACAAAGCTAATCTGGAAGGGCTCTCTCGAGGCCGGCGTGCACCTCTTACCCAGCACAAAGCACCGAAGCACTAACAAGCAACCTGTGAAACTTTTCCTCCTCACTTGGGGGGAAGTACTGCACCCTCATCACAACTGGCATAATTGTCAGCACGTCTAAACTTTACTGTTGTGTCAACTGGCCTCGTTATAAAGCACATGTTAAAATGCAGATTCCCGTTCCCGGAGGACCGCACTGGGACCTCAGGTTCTGCATTTCTAAGAGTCTCCCAGTGGTGGCTGCTGCTGCTGCTGCTGCTGCAAGGCCTGCAGATCACTTTCTGAGTACGGAGGGGCTCCTTTCAAGATCCCACTCTGTCTCTGCAATCATGCTCTCTTGCTTCAAAAGCCTAGCATCGGGATGCTCGCTAGAGTCATGTGGTGCCAAGAGAACTAAGATCTCCCCAACAGTAACCATCAATACATGGGTACAGCCAGGTGCCTCCCCAGTCCAGGGTGCTGCCAACTGAGAGCTAATTCGTGACTTCACAGCCCTACCAAGCAGGGGTCCCGGCTGAGGATGGGGAAGGTCAGGCGCTGGTTGGGCAAAGATTGCGCCCTTAGGCTTGAAGAGCAGGGGCGTTTTGAGCACTGGGATTTCCCAGGATTAAATCATTGCTGCAGGCTGTCCTTTTAAAATGTAGTCTTAAAGGTTTCTTTATGCCAAAGAAAGGGATTGCAGAGGCAGGGCATCCCTGGGAAGACCAAGGCTTCCCTCTCTACTAGAGATGAAGCTTTGTTTGCAGAGACAGCTTTAAAAAAATCAAGTCTGAGTTGAAGTACCTTTATTTATTTACTTTTCTTCTGCCAGAGACATTTAATGTGACTAAGAGGTAGGGAATACCTAGACAAATATTTAGAAAGTTGCCTTAGAAAACACCTTAGGACTAACCTCTCTGTACTGGATCTGACAAAATCTTAATCAAAAGGCTTTTCCTTTCCCTCCCCAAGAGCAATCTTTAGTGCATTTTTAAAGGACCAGTTGCTGGCCTCCGGCCTCTGCACGTTTCCCAGGAGGACAGAAAGGACTAGGCTTGTAGGCCCTTGACATTTTATAGGTTTCCAAAGGGGAGTAGTTTCACTGCATCATCTCAAAATTATTCTTTAACCGCATGGGCACCAACATTGGGGCTCAGAGAGAGGGTATATTCAACAATTCAATCAAACATCGAGGTCTTTTTACAGGTAAAAACTGGTTGAAATTGGGCTATACTTGCCTGTTGAAATGGCATCCTTAAAGCACCTACGTTGACATAGGGTGCAACTCTACAAGCTTCAAACTGGCTGGCAGCCCCTATGAGAACACCTGTAAAAAAAAAAAAAAAAAGGAGGGGGGGGGAAACAAAACACAATATTGTTAGGTTAATATTTCCAGCGTGGTTTTCCAGGGTTCTAAATGATACCAAGATAAAACTAATTCCTTTGGAATCGGACTATTATGGACTATGCCATAATTAAAATAAACGCAATTTACTCCCAAACTTTTGGATTCTCATTAACTGCCTCAGAGCAGATTTTAAATAGAGACCACCATTATCTCTCAGGGTTTCTTTCCGACTTTGTATAACAATGTTACCCAATTCTCTTTTTGCTTAGAATATCAGATGTTCTTTAAGAAACATACCTTTATGGAGTTGATTTTCTTGTTTTCTACATTTAGCTCGTCGATTTTGAAACCAAACCTACAAATTGGAAAAAAACAAAACAAAACAAAACCCTAGATGTTATGAACTCAAACATTTTCTTTTAATTACCAGACTACAATGAAAAAACATTAGTGTTTTAGGCAAAGATTGACAGACACAGCACACAATTTTTGAATTCGAAAAAATCACTCTCAATTTCCAAAGTGAAATAATGCAAACGAATGACAAAAATAGGTTTCATGGAGTTTTGCAAGATAAATTGTTTCTTGATAAAGTACTATTAGTCCTGGTTTCATCTTTCTACATTATGGAGTCCCCAAGGCCTAAAACTCTCCCTGATACCTGATACCAAAGTGATAATGGGTTTAGATGTTTGCCCAGTAAGACCTGAGAAGAATGTGCTCATTAATAGCCTGTAATATTAATTAGCTTCATCTTCAAGAAAAACCAAACACCAAAGCAAATAGTGACTCTGTTTTTTTTTGGGGGGGGGGGCGGGAGATAAGAGTGGAGGAAGAGGTAATTAGTGCCATAAAAGCCTCACTACAAAGAAGTTTAGAATTTCTCTGTTCCTCTGTGCAGCAGAGTATAACACAGTAGCAGAATAATTGTGCCATTATCATGATAATCTAACTTGCTTCTATAGAAAAAAATCCACTGCTTACAGTTAGGGTAGTAGAAAATAACCCTAAAATTTAAATAAAAGTATGAAAAAATAAAGACCAGCAACAAAGTTCACTTCTTATGAGAAAAAAAAAAAAACCCACCAATATTCTGTGAAAAGGGGAAGGTATGAATCAAGTAACTCCTGGATAATGTCTTTTCCCAGATATTACCTTCTTAAATAAACTTGCCAACTTTTAGAGGCAGTATGACAGATTTTAAAAAAATTCATATAAAGCTTGCTTTTACACTCCAATCACACAGCATTATGTTCCAATAACACAGCATATTGACTGATTGACAAATTAAGGTCTGAAAAAAAAACTGTAAAAGAAAAATACTGCTTCAGAGCTTTTCCTTGTTTTTGAAAGCAAGTGTCATAGTCCATGTAAATCTTCAAAAATTCCCCTGCCATTTAGTGTAATAGAAGGGTAGATTTCATGCCAGGGTGGCATCCTTTGTGTAACTCACATGGCCTGAGGCTTCTTGCCTCTTTTTTCCCCTAGAAGAGTTGGAACTGAGATACTAATGCTCATAACTGTAATAATTATCATCATGTCTTTAAGGGGTTGCTGAGCCTCTAGAGATTTCAGTACACACAGCAAAGCAGGAGAGGCTTAAAAAGGAAGAGCGGAGCCTTCTATTGATGGCTGTGATGACCAAGGCAGCCTATTATTACTTTTCCCCTTCAACGTGACTGCTCTGTTTTTGTCCTGATCCTATTACAAGATGCGGGGAAGCCCCATAAGAATTGCATAGTTTGCTGCAGATGGTGGTCTCTGCGCCCAGAGACCCCGGGAGTATCTGTTACAGTGATACTTTGTAACAGCTGCAGATGTTCAGGCCTAAAACTGCTCCATGTGTTCAAACAAATAATGACCATCATTTTCTCCTATTTTATTATTTGAGCGGAAATACAGTCTGAAACATTTAAATGTTTTCTCCAGAAAACTAGAAGGATATGTATGCACGTATGTATATAATTTTCTACCTTGAATTCTCCCAAAGCCTATTGCCGTGATTTCTACCCCCACAATCAGTAAAAAAAGAAAACAAACCCCAAAACAACAACAACAACAACAACAACAACAAACCCCTGCTCCAATCCTAAATTCATCACGTATGGCACTTGTTGGGTGTTGGACTTTGGGAATGTCAATCTTAAGATATGTGAGTTGTTTTAAAATCAAGTTTCTGTAGGGTCAGGTTTGCTGCCTCGGTTACGTACGTGAGGGAACAAAGAGTGACCAAAATGCATTTACTTCTCTACTGTTTTACACACAGTTTGAGATCGACTGCTAACAGCAAACTGTAAATTTCCACACTTAACAGTTGCTAATTTTCTTTATAGTCTGTACATCTATAAACCTAATTGGCATATCCGCTTGGCAACCCTAGACCCCGGAGCAGGCCCTCAAGGAAAACCAACTCAGGCGAACAAAATATTCGTTGTAACTTTTAAGGCATCCAGAAGATAAAACGTTTTCTGTGGGATTTTTTTTTAAGGCTTATAAAAGTAGGCCCATTAGGATTAAACCACATTAAAGGCATCGTAAGGCGAGGGGGGGGGTGTGGTTTATAGAAACTCTGGGAGCAAGCCCAGCACAGCTTTCTTCTGCTGGGAACATATGTTGGGGTAGGGTGGGGGGTAGGCTACGAGACTAAGATTTACTTTGCAAAATAAGACCTCTAGTAAGAACACCCCTTCCCTTCTCACCTCACTCCAGACGCCTGCGCCCGGGCCCTGGGTGTGTGTCTCCCAGCCTGGCTGCCTCTCTAACCCCACGCGTGCCCCTCCTCCACCCCCGGGCCCTGCCGTGACCTCCTCGCAGCTGGATACCTGCACGCGGGCCTCGGACAGCCCCAGCCGCTGGCTCAGTTCCTCGCGCATGAAAGCGTCCGGGTAGTGGGTCTCATCAAAAAGCCTCTCCAGTTCGTTGAGTTGTTCCAGAGTGAAATTGGTCCGACTTCGCCTCTGCTTGATTTTGGTCTGGCCTTCGTCCTCCATCCCTTTCGCATCCTCCTTGCGCTCCTTCAGCTCCGGGGACACTGGAGGGGGCACCACGCATAGAGAGAGCCACGCGTGTGGCCACGTGCGCGCACACACACACACACACACACACACGGACAAAAACAACACAGCAAACCCCGTTACCAGATTTGTCTCCAAAAAAAAAAAAAAAAAAAAAAAAAAAGGAGGATCCTGCCCCCTCCCGGAGTTCCCGTCCAGTCCGGCGCCCTGCCTCGGGGAAGAGCATCCCGGGGATGCCCGGCCGCCCGCTCCGCACCTGCAGCCCCGCTCCCCGCGCTCCCCGCTGCCCCCCTCGGGCCCACGCAGCCCCCGGCCCGGGCGCAGGGCGCGGCCAGGCGGTGCCCGGGGCCCTGGGCAGGCTGGGGGGCGCCCCGCCGTCCCTCTCCAACTCGCGTCTCTAATTTAGGGACCACTGGGCCCCGGGGGCGCGGCTGCAGAGCGCGCCCCGGTGCCGAGCGGCGCAGGGGCCGAGCCCGCGGAAGGCCCGCGCCAGGCCCCGCGCCCGAGCCGAGGCGCCCAGGCCACGCCGGCGGCCGGAGGGCGAGCGCGGAGCAGCGGCGTCGGGAGGCGCGCGCGGCCGGCTGCCTCCGGGCTCCCCCGCTCCCGCCCCATCGGAAAGGCAGCAAGCCTCGACCCTAAATGCTCGAACCCACGGAGATCAACAGGTTCAAGCGGAACATTGGTGATCCTTGGTTTCTATTGGTTGCTCCAAGCCTTTTCATGCATCCAGCAGCTCGGTTGTTTAATAAAATATGCATTTTTTTTTCCTGCTCTGGGTTTGCAGCATCCGTAGCTACTTTACTGTCCTTCCTCCTCCTCCTCCTCCCTTGAAAAGCAGGAGCTCTGCGACTGTGAGCGTACAGAGTCACCCGAGGGATGTAGGGGGGCCATACAGAGATGGATAGATAGATACAGGCCAAGGGGCAGTGGTCAGGGGAGCCCGCATGAGCATAAGCTCCCCTCTGGAACATTCATCCTTTGCGCCTGAGTCGGAGCCTTGGGTTTTTGAGGTGCCAAAGCTGAGTTTGGATAGTCGAAGCTGTTTGCGGTTCTTCCCAGCCCAGGATCCCGATGAGCATGGGTGTTAAGGATCAGTTCTGGAAGAGCCGGCCTGCAGAGAAATGGATACTTGTCCTGAGCTTGGAAAGCGGCAATCCCAGGACTGCGTCTGCTCGGGCTCAGACCTTCACCGCCACGCGGTGGGCTGGTGCGCCCAAGGCCTGGAGCTGTGCACTCAGGCCGGGAGGCCGCATGGGCTGCCTGACAGCTGGGCCATCACTTTCCAAATTTAGGAGGAGGGACCTGCTGCCTGGTCTGGGGGGGGCGGGGGGGGGTGGTGGTGTAAAAAAGAGTCTCCAGATTCCAGCCCAGTCTAGTATTCTAGCTCCGGTGATCTTGAGTGTGGCCCGCATTTCTTGTACTCAGAGTTCGTTTTTCCGGACATTTGTCCTTCCACCGGGGAGGAGACAACATAGCAAACATCAGGAGCCAAGTTCACGAAATATCTCCACTGATACGGTAATGAAATTTAAACATGGAAACACACCCTTCGGATTCTACCAAAGAGATGAGAAGGCTTTGTGTATTTCTTGTCATCCACAGTGGATGCCTCTCAAACTTTTGGAGCTTCAAAGAGAAGGATGTCCGCATCTCCACTTGATTAATAGACTTAATACAATCTCTATTTCGCCCCCAAATTTCCATTTATTGGCCTAAACAGGAACAGACCGTGTTATAAACAACTTAATTGCCCGCTTAAATATGTGATTCTACGCATGTCGCATATTTTCCTAATTGGAAAAATATGGCAGCACACCAGTTACTGCAGGCACCAAGTGCCAAATTAATTTTATTGTTGAACTCTTCCGAATCGGTACAGGACGCTGCGCTGTTTAGATAAAGGCCATTTCCTAACAGTTTGCTGGCACCAAAGGATGCCTCACGGCCCCCTCCCCCTTCCCCCCCCCGACCAAAATAATAATAATAATAATGAATCGAAAACAGCAAGCAAAAAAAAAAAAAGAGTGAGTAGTCACTGATTCGAAGCAGAGACAGAATCGTGCAAATATCGAAAAACCGACCAAAAATAAATAAATAAGTAAGTAATAAATAAAAGGAGCGTAACGCGCCTCCCGAAGGGAAGCAGCCTCGCCCGCCTCGGCCTCGCGCAAAGAGAAGGAGAAGTTTCCGCCTCCCCGGTGCGGGGCGCCGGGGATCGGGGAGTTGCCGGGGATGTGGCGGCGGCCGCGGCCCGGGCGCCGGGGTGAAGGGTGCCCCGCGCTCCCCCGCGCTGCCCCGCGCTCCCCCGCCTCCCGGCCTCGGGCCTAGGCGAGGGGCTCCCGCGGGCTCCGGCCCCCGCCGCTGCCCCCTCCGCCCGCGCCGCGGGCCGGCCTGGCCCGGGAGCCCGAGTCGGGGCGCACCGGCCCCGCGCCCCCGCGCCCCCGCGCCCCCGCGCCCGCGCGCCCCCGCCCGCCCCGCGCGCCCTCCCCGCGCCCTCGGGCCCCGCTCCCCGGGGTGGGGGTCGGGACGGCGGGCAGGGGCGCCGCGGCTGCGGGCGCAGGCCGTTACCCTCGGTGAGCCGCGGGCTGCCCGGCTCCCGGCTCCTCTCGGCGGCGCCCATGTCCAGCTCCCGGGCGGGAGAGCGCCCTCCTCCAGCGCCGCCGCCCGCTCCTCCTCCTCCCGCGCCTCCTCCGCCTCCTCCGCCGCCTCCGCCTGCGCCTCCGCCTCCGCCTCCTCCGCCGCCGCCTCCGCCGGCCGCCCGGACTGCGGGGCTGCTGCGCTCGTCGCGGCCCGGCTCGGCGCCGCCCGTCGGCTCCTTGGCCCCGCGCAGCGGCCCGCTCTCCAGCACCTCCCGGTACGTGATCGCCTCCTTCTTCTCCTTCACTTTCTGGTCAAACGACTTGGAGACGAAGGCCGTGAGCTCCTCCATCGCCGCGGACGCCGGCCCGCCCGCCCGCCCGCCCGCCCCGCGCGCAGCCTCTCCCAGCCGAGCCCCGCTCTTTTTTTCCTTCTTCTTTTTTTACTGCTCCAGCCCCCCCAGTAATAACACATCAATGGGGCAGGGGGTGGGGGAGGAGGAGCCGGAGGAGGAGGAGGAGGAGGAGGAGGAGGAGGAAGGAGAAGAAGAAAAAGAAGAGAAGCGAGAAGAAAGAGGAGGAGGAGGAGAAGTAGGAGGAAAAGAAGTAGGAGGAGGAGGAGGAGGAGGAGGAGGAGGAGGAAGAGGGAAGGGGCGGGGGCGGGGGCCGCCGGGGGCAAATGGGAACTGATGCTCCCCCGCCGGGGCGCGCTTGTTGGATGTGAAGATCTTTGACAAATCTTCCTGCCCAGAGTCCAGACCCGATAGCGACGCTGCGCTCCAAGTCTCACTATTTATACTTGGCAAAGGCGGCCCCTCGTTCTGAGTCGCTCACCTCCCCTCCGCCACTCGGACCAGTACCTGCGGGTGGGGGAGGGGACGGGAGGGGGAGGGGAGGGGCGACGGGGGGAGGGCCGGGCCGGGCCGGGCCGGTCCCGGGCCGCGCGGGTCGTCGGGGAGCCCCGGCCGCCTGCGCTCCGGGCCGCTAGTCCAGCGTGGACGAGGATCCCCAATTAATTTAATCAGGCGCGGATCTTGCGTCGGTGTCGCGGTTCAGTTAAACACCGGGGAGCGGGACCTGCCCCGCCGGGGCGTGGCCTGCAGGACGCGGAGCGGCGCGCGGCGGCGGGGCCCGGGCGGGCGCCCCGACCGCGACCCCGACCGCGACCCCGACCGCGACCCCGCGGCCCAGCCCGGCCCGGCCCCGCACCTGCGCCCGCAAGCCCGCCCCGAGCCACGGTCCTCTCCGGCTTCCCAGGCCCGCGCCGGCTCCGAGCCCAGCCCGAGCTGCGCCCCCCGGGGAGGTCGAGCCACCCCACGCCTCGCGCCCCGGACCCCAAGTCCCCGCCTCCGCCGCCGGCCGACCCACCTCCCGGGCTGCTGCCCCCCGACCGGCTCCATCCCGCAGCGCCGCTCCCCGAGCGCCCGGGCCAAGGACGCTTCGACTTCGCTCCCTCCCCGAGGCCCCAGGGTCCCGACCCCCTTTCCCTGGCAGTTCCCTGCGCGCGGACCCCTCCCACGGCTAACGACTGGCACCAAAGCTCTTTAGCATCCTCAGAACATTGTAGTTGATTTCCTGATCTTGAAAAGCGAGTGATGATCCCTCTTTGAGTTTGGAAAAAAAAAAAAAATCGTCTTAAGTTTATGCCCCATCTCATTTTACTTATCACGGACTGTTCAAGGAGAGGGTCACCGGGAGAGAGGTTTCTCCGTGTGTGTGTGTGTGTCAAAAGCACAATTTAAAATTCCATTCCTGGACTCTTTTCATCGAAACGGTTCGTTGTATGGAAGGAACATCTATATTACTGAGTCATTTGTGCAGGACCAAGCTGGCTGTGGGCAGTGTGGCCGGACGTACGAATCTCCCACGAGAATATTTACACAGGGAAGTTCTGATTCCTTGAGTCTGTACACAAATACATCTGAATCTTCACGTTGGCTTGGGGGACGTTTTCAAGTAGCGTCAATATTAGTGCAGGTTCTCCTCTGATGTTGAAGGCAACTTGGTCATCTTCTTGGACCGGATACGCTCAGTGAAAATAAAAGCAATTACAGAACTTTGATGGGTATATGGTCTGCCCCTCCATTAAGGCGTGAACACAAAGTTAACAGATAATTTGAGGACTATCATCAAAGCAACTTGAATCATTTGTAAAGATGAGAAAACAATTATAACTTAATATATTAGTGGTTCTACAATGAAAACAAACAGAGGCTACACATATCTTTATCATACTCTCCTACTCTTCAGATTGAAATGTTCACATTTAGTGAATTTAAGGAAAATGAAAGTCATACGTTTTAGAAATGTAACTTTGCCCTTTTTTTTCTTTTAGATTCTGAAGCTATCTTCTGTTCTTGTTGGAACTTTTTTTTTTTTTTTTGCTGTTTTTGGAGAAATGATTAAGATCTTTAAGTTTCCAGTAGCAACAGCTTTTAGGTATTAATGAATTACACGACTGCTTGCTTCTGTTTCATCACACCGCAGAAGAGACTCAAACACGTTTTCCAAGTTATATGAATTTAGAAACATGATCTTTCACTTGGTTTTGGTTTACTACTGTAACCACTTCAATTCCGATATTATCAGAGGGGAGTAGCCACACAACTTTAATCCTTTATGAAAATCCATTTTTAAGGTTATTTAGCAGAATGACCAGTAATGGGGTCAACTAAATGGATGTGGTGCCCAAAGGGCTCTGAAACTGAGGTGTTAAATGCGTATTCACAAACAGCTCCAACATACCCACTGTTAGAAGTCTGGCGAGGGATCAGGAGACTCACTAGCTACTTTTTTAAATTCCATCTACTGAGGTGGAGGGAAAGATGACCACTTTAATCAGGGAAGGCTCAGACACAATTGTCCTGTAATTCACACCAAATATATTTTCCCATAGATTTTCCTGGCACATTGGCTTTTTGTATATAGTTAGCAATAGTGGTGTTGATGTCCTCTGGGGTTGTTAAGAAATCTGCAGTGTCTCACCATAGATTCCCACTGGCCTAAGGGAAGTTTAGTTTAAAAAAGAATAAACAGCAAGGTCTTAAAATAATATAACAATAAATGCTCATAAAGTCGTGATGATGCTGTTTCATTACATAAAAAAAAATATTTTCTGGAGACACGATATTTCCAAATGTAGTTTTGGTAAGAAAACAAAAACAAAAACAAAAAAACAACATTGAATGAAGTTCAGTTGACAGCCTGCAGACAGATACACGGGTTCCAATAAAATTCAGGACCCCAAGGGGCGCCCCAGCTCTTGGATTATTTAAAACAAACATGTTGTGTAGTAGTTATTTAACACTGGTTGTTTCAAGATACAGTCATTTATAGGAAATGTATTGGTGGGGGTGGTTTTCGGCCTCTCAGCCCGTCCGCGGGGGACTGCAGCGCGGCATCCCTCAGTGGCTGTGAGTCGGTCCCCACCCGCGACCCGAACCCAGGCCAAGGGTGGGTTCACCTGCTTTTCACGCCTTACACGTAAATGATGTAAATAGAAGCCACAGGAAATGCCGAATCGCTGTAATTCCTATTGCTCTAAATAACAACCCAAACCCTCTACCGTTTAATTTCTCTTTCAGGACAAACCCCGTTTCCCAGCCTCCGGCCCGCCTCCTCCCAGTGCTGCACCAACCCCTTAACTTTGATGGGAGAAACTAATTTGCGCCCAACCAGGGCACGCCCCCCACCTTCAGGGGCGGTAGAGACACCGCTTCTAATGCTTTTTTTTTTTTTTTTTTTTTTGCAAATAAATCATTGCACTTTGATCCCACACGACTCTACAGACGCTCCCGTGACTTATTCTCGTTGGCCCCGGTTCCCCCTCCCCCGGGAGCCAATTTTGCTACGCGTGGGGTCTCAGACGTAACTTCCTACGGTGCACATTTGTTTACTGGTCATCTAAGATGATAACGACGGTGCCTCGGGCCGTGACACTCTAAGGCCTCCGCCTTTATTGCTCTTCGGGAACCAGAAACCCAAAGACGCGAGCGCGCGCACCCAGCACCACACAGACAACAACAACAACAAATTGGCGGCGCGGCCATCGACTCCCTCGGCGCTCCTCGGAGTCCTGGCCGCCCGTATCGATGCGCTCGGCGCTCGGCTGCCGCCGCCTGGCGCTGGAACCAGGAAGGCGGTGCGCTTAAACTGAGGCGAGCGCGGAGCCCGGCGGCGGCGCCCGGATTCGAAGGGGCGATTCTCGGTCTGTGGCGCTTGCGAGTCAGCGGGAGGCGCGAGGCCGAAGGCCGCGACGCAGGTGATGCCCGCGCCGGCGGCCGAGACGCGGCGCGGCCGGGCGCGGGCTTCCGAGGCCCTGCCCCGGCGGGAGGCGGCGCGGGGTGGGGGCGGGGCGGCGGCCGCGGGCCGAGCGGGGCGGCGCAGTGCGCATGCGTGCGGCACCTGGCGCCCGCCGCCCCCTGGGGCCCGGGCCCGGCTTGCGCGGGGGGGGGGGGGCGGGGGGCGCGGAGGGCGCGCGGGGGCGGGGCCGCCGGTGCACGCGGCTGCAGGCCTCGGGCTCGGCCCTGGGCGCGGGGAGGGTCCAGCAGCGCCCTCCCTGCCCTCCGCGTGCACCGACCCCCGCGTGCTCCGTCCCTCGCCTAGGTAGGAGGCGGCGGCGGAGGCTGCAGCCGGTGCACCCCTTCCTTCCCCCTCTTGCTGCGCTGCCCTCTTCGCTCCGGGGCCGCGTTCCCTGCTGGCCCCCCTGCCCCGGGAAAGGTCGCGCGGGGTGACACCGGCTGAACTTCTTTGACATACAAATATACTCGCCCTGACCGCTCCATTTCCTCGGCTTCAGGGTTTGTGGCCTTGGCCTCTAGGACCACCCCTAAGGGCTGCTCCCCCCCCCCTACACTCTGTGTACTTGGGTGAGAGGTCACGATGCGCCGTCCCTACAGGTTGCTGACTCACCATGTGGGGTCCGCCGTAACCTACTCGCCGCCCCAGGGGTCATGCATATCGCATCACGTATGTACTACATGGATGGACCCTGGAAGCCAGAATTTTTCTCTTGGTGTTGAGGTTTTAAGAAGGAGCACTAGCCTGTTAGTTTCAGCTACCTAGGTATTTTGCATAAATCAAATGCAATTTGCAGTTACAAAGTGTGTTCCAGATGTCATCTCTGCACGCAGACCTAAAAAGCTCTTAAGTGAAGGGGATATGCAGAATTCTCAGGTTTAAAGGTTTGGACGGGGATCCCTGGGTGGCGCAGCGGTTTGGCGCCTGCCTTTGGCCCAGGGCGCGATCCTGGAGACCCGGGATCGAGTCCCACGTCAGGCTCTGGTGCATGGAGCCTGCTTCTTCCTCTGCCTATGTCTCTGCCTCTCTCTCTCTCTCTTTCTCTCTGTGACTATCATAAATAAATAAAAATTAAAAAAAAATAAAGGTTTGGACGCTTATGACAGGTGCAACCTTCTGGGGAAACTGGGTATCCCCCTCTTAGCCTCAGAGCCTGTAAATACGCTTTTTTTTTTTTTTTTTCAGGCAGAGGAGATTTCTGGCTAAGGGGTAACGCTTTGCTCCTGTTATGTTCTTCAGTAAGACAGCTAAATAGGTTTGAAATAGGAAAAAGTAAAAAAGGCAGCTGGTACCTATTGATGGGCCTTACCAGTTCCACCATCCTTAGCCAAGAGTTGTGTTAGGAGTTGGAAAGCTTCTGTAATGGTACTGTAATGGTACAGAAGATGTATAGGTGTATTTTCTGCTTTTATGTTCAAACCGTTGGAAGAAATTCTTAGGACTGATCATGCATTTTTTTTTTTTAAGATTTTATTTATTTATTCACGAGAGACACACAGAGAGGGAGAAGCAGGCTCCATGCAGGGAGCCTGACATCCTGGGTCTCCAGGATCAGGCCTTGGGCTGAAGGCGGTGCTAAACCGCTGAGCTACCCGGGCCGCCCTTGATCATGCTTTTTATAAAAAGAGATGCTAGTCTACAAAATTTTTAGTTAGCATAGAACTGTTTTTGATAATTCGGTATCTCTTGAATTTTGCTGTATTTTTTTTTGATTTTTATTTATTTATGATAGTCACAGAGAGAGAGAGAGAGAGAGAGAGAGAGAGAGAGAGGCAGAGACACAGGCAGAGGGAGAAGCAGGCTCCATGCACTGGGAGCCCGATGCGGGACCAGATCCCGGGTCTCCAGGATCACACCCTGGGCCAAAGGCAGGCGCCAAACCGCTGCGCCACCCAGGGATCCCGAATTTTGCTGTATTAAGTTTGAATTTTGCCCCAGTCCTCTTACTGCTTTTTTTTTTTTTTTTTTTTTTTTTATGATAGTCACAGAGAGAGGCAGAGAGGCAGAGACACAGGCAGAGGGAGAAGCAGGCCCCATGCACCGGGAGCCTGACGTGGGACTCGATCCAGGGTCTCCAGGATCGCGCCCTGGGCCAAAGGCAGGCGCCAAACCGCTGCGCCACCCAGGGATCCCCCCTCTTACTGCTTTTTGATGGTTCTGACTTATTTGTGGATTTCTTCCTATGCTAAAATGGTATTTTATTTTATTTTTAAAAATATTTTATTTATTTATTTATTCATTCATTCATTCATTCATTCATTCATTCATTCATGATAGATATAGAGAGAGGCAGAGACACAGGCAGAGGGAAAAGCAGGCTCCATGCAGGGAGCCTGACGTGGGACTCCATCCCAGGTCTCCAGGATCCTGCCCTGGGGCTGAAGGCGGCACTAAACCACTGAGCCACCCCAACAGCTGGCTAAAATGGTATTAAACCCATTTTTAATTTACCTCTTCGAGTTGGATTTCCCATTGACATGACTGTTCTACTCCTTTTTTTTTTTTTTAAGCCACACGACGTCAAAGATACAAAGTATAGTTTGATATACTAATGATTGAGTAGTAGAGAAATAATTATAAACTGTCATGTCCTCTAGGAATCTTTGTTCTAACTGCCTGTTTTTTGAAAAAGGTTAACTTCTTCTTGTACCTTAATAACTAGACCAAAGAACTACTTGTGTATGCCTTTGAGCTTTTTTTTTTTTTTTTTTGAGTGACCACATCTTGGCTTCATGTCTTTAATCAGTCACTTAAATTTTACAATGAGATGGTTTTGTAAGTGGATGTCCTGCTGTAGTGATTACCTGTCCTTAGTTTCAGTTCTTGCGGGAGTTTTTGGGTGAAGTTTACAACCGTGAGACTACAACCAGGAAGTTCTAGAAGACAGAGTGAGGACAGAAAACCAAGAGCTGCAGGAGTTCTGTTAACCAGAGTTGTGTTTTCTGTTTACAGATAGATTGAAAAGTTGTTAGCTTGTGGGGCTTCTCAAAATCTCTGCTCAGTTCATTATTGCCCTTCCTAGAAAGTGTTATTAAGGTGTCTTTCCATGTACTGTACCTTAACAATGGAGTCACATTTGAAGAGCTCTTCCTTACTAAGAGTGTGTAATATAGATTACAACCATGACTTGAGTGAGCAACTATATTCAATTGTATGCCAATGATATTATGGAAATCCAGAGGTGAGTATGTATATCTAGGGTGCTGAGTAGGAATTCAGTACCTGTCGTTGATAGAGAGGACAATTTCTGGATGTATCTCTTATTTGCTCTTGGTGCTCAGTTTTCTGAATAAATATTTGAAGTTAACTGTATTAAATGTAGTGACTTTTGAGGTCTCTTGAGATTGATTATACTTCAGAGTAATTTCTCTGAAATGTATGTTACTTGAAAATATAGTTTTGTGACATAGTTCGAAAAACTTTCTTTAGTTAGTTTCTCTAAAGAAGGATTTTGTATCTACCACTAACTTTTCTGGGTTAAATGTAATCATTCTTCTACTATGGATGAATTATGTTGTTTAAAATTAAAACAGAGGAACATATTTACCCACTTCCTATTCTCTCTCTTTTTTTTTTTTTTTCTTTTCCAGTCAACAAGATATATTAATTAGGTCTGTGTCCTTTTCGTTCTATTTCTTTATGCCTTGCACAGGGACTTAGTAGGCTGGACAAGAAAGGAGAAACGGTAATAACTTTAGATGCCGTAGAGCAGTGGTTCTCAAACTTTCTAGTTTTAGGGTTCCTTTACACTCTTAAAAATTATTGTGGGCCCCAAGAACTTTTATCCATGTGGGCTGTATCTGAAATACTGCCTTGCTAGTAATTAAATGAGCAAATTTTGAGATATTTATTAATCCACTTAAAAGTAATAATAATAAGCCCATTACATGGTAATATAAATAATACATTTGATGTGAAAAAAATAACTGTGCTTTCGAAAAACAAACTTAGTGAGAAAAGTGACATTTTCCATTTTTGTGAGTCTCTAATGTCTGGCTTAATAGAAGGCAATTGGATTCCTGTATCTGTGATGAGTTGTTTTGATTGGAATATACAAAGAAAATCTGGTTTCACAAAGATAATGGTTTGGAAAAAGAAGTATTTTAATAGCCTTTGCAGATAATTACTTCTATGATACTACACTGAAACTTGACAAGCAGTGGTTTCTTAAGGGTTGGTTGCAATCTGGTATTTGAAACCATGTCAATGACTTTATAGTCTATTACATTAAAATCTGTTGGTTGATCTTGCACTCGAGTGGATTTTGTTACCCATGCATGATTCTGTGATATACTGAATTGGCCTGTGGGAAAATAGTGGTTCACTGAGTTATGTATACTTTCTAAATTTTGACACTCTTTATTATATAATTTTTAAAAATTCACATCTGTTAATATCACCACTGATCTCATCAGAGAAATCTTTAAGTACTGGCTGGAAGCTGTCAGTCTCACGGTGGTGGATATAAGTTATCCAAAATTCTAATTTTTGCTTGAGAGCTCAAATTTTATCATTGGCAAAAAAAAAAAAAAAAAAAAAGGCAGTTTGCCTTGAAATGAAAGGCCCTCTTCATTCATTTCTGGGCAAATGTCTGCCAAATGCACAGATTTGAGTAATCATAGTTCTTTAAAAATAGTGTTTCATGATAAAAGCTAGTTCAATTTGAAACTCATTTGTATAAATGCTTTTTCTCAAAACAATGAGTATTCTTCAGTATGCAGCAGCGGGTAAATGTATTTCCCATTTCATCACACAGAATATTAAAAAGATGTGTGCTTAAGGATTGAAATTTAACGAAATTGATGATTTTTACTGTTTTTTTCAAGGACATTCTTAAGTGAAACTGGCTTAAAAAATTTTTTTAAACTATGCGTTGCAGTGAAGAATATAATGACTACTAGTACAGTGTGGTGCCATTGCCTTGATTCCTGTTAAGGCACCAGGAATTTTGCCTACTATCGCTTTTATTTACATCATCAGTGCAAAAGTCAACACAGTGAAAAAGGTAAATCATGTTTCAGTATTCTAGTGAAAATAGTTTTGACCTCTTTAATACCCGGAAGGGGTTTTAGGGACCCTTAGCAGTCTATAGAACACATTTTGAAAATTGCTGTTACACTTCTAGCATAAGCTAGAGGGGGGGAGGACTTTTCTTTCTTTCTTTTTTCTTAAGATTTACTTATTTATTCATAGGAGAGACAGAGAGAGAGAGGCAGAGACATAGGCAGAGGGAGAGGCAAGTTCTTCACAGGAGCCCGATGCAGGACTCTATCCTGGATCCTGAGATCATGCCCTGAGCCACCCAGGTGCTCCAGGACTTTTTTTTGTTCCCTGATATATCTCTTATCCCTAGGCCTGTCCCCTAGGGATAAGAGATATATCCCCTGTCATTCTGGGACTTTTTACTTATCTCTAGTGTTAGATTTTTCTGAATCTGGAGCATCTTTGTTGGTTTACTCTTTCCTTTTGGTGGAGCACATCCTCTAGTAGCGTCCTAAGAAAGGGTGAGTGTAAAGTACAATTTTGACACTGCATATTTTAAAGCATCTTTATTCTGATCTCTTATTAGATCAATGATTGGGCTGGATGTAGAGAGGTTGAAAGTCATTTTCATTTAAATTTATGAAGGCAAGTGTTTTTTAACTTTTCTGTGTTGCTTTTGTGATTACCTCATTTGTTTCTCTTAAGTTTCTAGGATCTTCTATATATGGTGGTTTGAATTTTTCTGAGATCTATCTGGTGTATGTCTTTTTTTTTTTTTTTAAGGTTCATTTATTTTAGAGAGAGTGTGTGAGCTGTGGGAAGGGCAGAGGGAGAGGGAGAGAGAGAATCCTCAAGCAGACTCTTCACTGAGCACAGAGCTTGAGGTCAGGAGGGGGCCTGAGTCCCAGGACCCTGAGACCCTGAGATCATGACTGGAGCTGAAACCAAGAGCTAGCCACTTAATCTACCAAGTTACCCAGGTACCCCTGATGTATGTATATCTTTTATTAATTCATTGTCCTGGGGATTTAAAGCAATTAATATCTTTCAACTCTGGGAATTCTTTTGAATTATTCTTTGGGTTCTTTCTTTCTTTCTTTCTTTCTTTCTTTCTTTCTTTCTTTTTTCTCTTTTCTCTTCTCTTCTCTTCTCTTCTCTTCTCTTCTCTTCTCTTCTCTTCTCTTCTCTTTTTCTTTTTCTTTTTCTTTTCAGATTTTATTTGTTTATTTGAGAGAAAGAGAAGAGAGCATAAGCAGGGGGAGCAGGAGAGGAAGAAACAGGCTGCCTACCAAGCACAGAGCCTGATGTGCGAGGCTTCATCCCAGGACCCTGGGATCAGGACCTGAGCTAAAGGCAGACACTTAACCAATTGAACCATCCAGGTGTCCCCTTTGGGTATTTTTCCTTATCTCTTTTCTCCTTTCTTTTTTTTTTTTCTTTTTCTTTTTTTTATGAAATGCATATTGATTGGATATTGGACTTTCTGGATCTGTCTTTTTTTACCTCTTATTTTTATCTTTTTATGTCTACTTTTGTGAGTCCTTTGACCTTATCTTCTAACCCTACTGTATTTTTTACTACAGATTGTCATCGGTTTAAGTTTCAAGCTTTCCTGTTCTTTGGATGTTCCTCCTATTCTTGTTTGCTGGATCATCTTCTCACATATTTCTGGGGATATTAATAGTAATTTTTTCCTACATGTTCCTTGTTTACTACAAGTTGCTTTTTATCTTTCTGTTTTGGTTTCTGTCTCTTATGATGAAGGCTTTCATCAAGTGGTTATCTTTTGTTGTATAATTGCTAAAAAGTTAACGTAAAAAGTTTACAAAGTTTATTATGTTTAAGGTTTGGGCTTGTTAACTTGTGGGCTTGGTTATAGGGTGATTGGATAAGGGGCTGCTGGCCTTTTTTGGGTGGGAGTCTTCAAATATTTATATACATTTTTGGGGCTACGGTTCAGTTTTAGCAAAGAATACTCTGCCAGAATTCTTGGATCCAAGCACACAGAATGCTGCAGTATTTACCATTAGATTGAAGACCTTCACTTTACTAATTTTGAGTTTAGCATCTTTCTGCCCTCTTTTACTGTGCCCCTGGACCTGTACTTCATTGTTTTATCGTTTACCTAAAAAAACCCCACTTTTCCTGCTGGGATTGGGGAGGAGTAGTCACTTGCCTAGGTTGGTTGGGGGAGGGGGTCTGGGAAATTACTTCTTTTACAGTTTTTTAGCTTGTGTTTTAGTCTCATGACCTATTTTGCCTGCTATGGGTATCTGGTGTCTCAAATTCCTGAGCCTTTTTTATTTTTGCCGTGTGAATTGGCTTTTCACTTGGAATTCTCTGCAGTTGCGTGATATTCAACTTTCTTAGCTCAAAATCCTCCATCTGGTTTTCATTTGCTAAAAATTTATTGACATATCTTGTCTACTGTTCCTGTTGTTTTCTCTTTTAGTCTTCATCCTTGTGAATTTGTACTTTTGTATTTTTTGCTCTCGTTTTAGTATTCTTTTTTTTTTAAGATTTTATTTACTCATGACACACACACACACACACACACACACACACACAGAGAGAGGCAGAGACACAGGCAGAGGGAGAAGCAGGCTCCATGCAGGGAGCCTGATATGGGATTTGATCCCGGGACTCCAGGATCACGCCCTGGGCCGAAGGCAGGCGCTAAACTGCTGAGCCACCCAGGGATCCCCTCATTTTAGTATTCTTTAACCAGATAATAAGATTATAATAAAAACTCATCTTAATTTAAATGGTTATTTGGTAAAGAAAATTCATAACTGGGCCGCCTGGATGGCTCAGCGGTTTAGTGCCGCCTTCAGCCCAGGGCGTGATCCTGGAGACCTGGGATCGAGTCCCACGTCGGGCTCCCTGCATGGAGCCTGCTTCTCCCTCTACCTGTGTCTCTGCCTCTGCCTCTCTCTCTCTGTGTCTCTCATAAATAAATAAAATCTTTAACAACAACAAAAAAAAAATTCATAGCTGTCTAAAGATGAAAACAAGGAAGGAAAGAAAAGCCAGAAATAGGAAAACTTAGGTGATTGTTTCTTTCAGTTATGTATACATACTTTAATGGAAATATACATGTATACATACAGGTATTGATATGTTATATATAATGTATATGTGTGGATATTTAAATATGTATGTATGCACATTTATATTGTTTACATATGTACAATTTCAAAGTCATAGTATTTTGAAGCTGGAAAGGGTAATGGTGATTTTTTAACTAGGGCAATTTCATTTTTCAGTGAGGAAACTGGCTTAGATTCACTAGTGATTTACTGAAAGTTTCAAAACCAAGTGTTTCCAATATTTTTTTAACTTAGAATATTAGAACTGTGAATATCTTGGAGGTTCAGAACTATAGTTAACGGCTAATTCTGGCTCTAGGTAAATAGCTTAGAATTTTGAATTTAGTCCTGACAGCAGTTTTCAAGTAGTATTGTGTTAGAGTCAGGGAGGGGATGGCTCATGTGACCATTCTGAAAACAAAACTGTAATTTAACATATTGCTTTGTTTATAATACTGATACTAACTTATTTTGAATAAATATTAAAGCATGACATTTTTATTTGTCTGATCCATTAGCTGTTTGTCTTAACCATTATATAGGATGGATCTTGCTTTTATGTGACACTAAAAGATAGCTAATAACTTATTTTATTTTTTTTTTGCTAATAACTATTTTAGTAAAATAAATGAGATTGTATATCTAAAGTCTCTAAAGGCTAACTTTAAGACAAGTAAGCTTCTTTCAATTAAGTTAATTCTAGGTATAGAAACCTTAAGTTCTATTTCTGTATAGTAAATATACAAACATTATTATCACAGCCATATAGAAAATAGTGTAAAGAAAAAAAAAGCTACCCAGTTTTCATCACTTAAATATTATCACTTGTTTTCATTTTTGTTCTTAGTCATGTACACACATACAGACACACACACACGTATATATACATATATATGTATTTTTTTAAAGGGGTGGAGTGGTGGGGCGGGGAGAGAGAATCTTAAGCACGCACAGGCTACATGCCCAGCACAGAGCCTGACATAGGGCTCGATCTCACAACCCTGAGATCATGACCTGAGCAAAAATCAAGAGTTGGACACTTAATCGACTGAGCCCCTGGGTGCCCTATATAGGTACATTTTCCTTAAATTGTGATCTCTGTAGATATGGTTTTAATAATGTTCTAATGGATATCTTCATGAGTATAGATTCCTTTTAAGAAAAACTTCGCAGATATATTCTTAGAAGTAGGATTGCTTTGTCAAAAAAACAACATTTTTATGACTCTTTAAATTGCTTAATTGCCTTCTGGAAGGGTTATACTGTCACTTTATATAGGAACTAGCAGTGTGCAGAGTTGACAGACTTCACAATAACCTTACCAACTTTAGTACTTAAGTGAACATTTCCTCCCTCAGATTTCACCAGTGAAATGATGATACTGCATTGTACTGTACTTTGTACTTCATCGATGACTAATGAGGTTTTAATCATTTAAATTTAGAATTTTTAGTTAGAAAAATGTAACTCTGAAAGATAGTAAGATACTTTTTATATATAAGGAATGTGGAAATGAAGGATTAGTGGCTGATCCCTAACCTAAATCAGGTATTATAAAACTAATGATAAGTGCAACTTAAAATATAAGAAAGTTATTATAATGAGCAGTTCTTAGGATTGAATCTTTTGAGAGGCATTTGAAAAAATTTGGGCAAATTTAAACTTCATAAGCTGTAAAAACAGTTAATTGATAATCCTGGAAGGCTATATCTTAGAGCTATTTCTTTTGTCAAATAAGCCAGGTACATTTAAAGTTTTACTTTAGACAAAGACTTTATAAATTTTTACGAAGTTCTACAAAAATTATTATGTTAAATTTCATGCATTATGCCATTATGCTAGAACTAATTTTCTTTGAATTTAAACCTAGAGAAATGGGACGCCGGTCATCAGATACTGAAGAAGAAAGCAGAAGCAAGAGAAAAAAGAAACACCGTAGACGGTCATCTTCAAGTAGTTCTTCAGATAGTAGAACATATAGCCGAAAGAAAAGTGGAAGGAAATCAAGATCAAAATCAAGATCTTGGTCCAGAGATCTTCAGCCTCGCTCTCATTCATATGATAGAAGGTGATTTTCATAATTTTTACTTATATAGCAATGAAAGTAACATTCTTTAGAGTATATATGTTTTTGTACTTTAAGTTTTTCTGGGTAAAACATTTTCTCTTGATAGTTATATGTTTATGAGGGTTAAGTCCCAACCCAAAAGTTTGTTTCTTTTTTAATTTTTTAATTTTTGAGTTATGTTATATTGAGTATGAGTATGTTACTTGAGTATGTTATATTACTTTCAGATATACAATTGAATTATTTGACACGTTTATACATTATGCTCTGTTCACAAGTGTAGCTCCCATCTGTCCCATTACATCGCCATTACAGTATCATTGACTGTATTCCCTATGCTCTGCTTTTTATACCTGTGCCTTACCCATTTCATGGCCGGAGGTCTGTATCCCTCCCCCTTTCTACTTCACCCACTGGGCCCCACCCCTCCCTCCCCCAAAGGTTTTCCTTTTGGCAAGGCCCAGTGCATGGGTCTAGTATCTTCTTCCTTTGTCTGTTCTTTGTAGTTATAGATATAAACTGCTATAGTTCTCATAACATATCATCTGATAATATTTGGAAGGATTGTGTAATACTGAGCACCTCTAATGTCTTAATTAGTAGCTGATCCAGTTACTAAATTAGGAATTCGTCATCTGATTCTTCATTTTATCTCTATTTTCTTCTAGGAAGGATTGAGAAATAGTAAAAATGAGATAATTCTTTAGAATCTAGATGATTTTAATACTCATAAAAATTTTTTTATAGCTATGATACTTGATTATATTTTATTTCAGACGCAGGCATCGATCAAGCAGTAGCTCTTCTTATGGCTCTAGAAGAAAACGAAGTCGAAGTCGTTCAAGGGGTCGAGGGAAATCCTATAGAGTTCAGAGATCTAGGTCAAAAAGCAGAACAAGAAGGTATGCCATATCAGATATTTATTGCTTTGTAATAGACGATTTCCAAATTTTGTGATCTAAAGCAACAATCTCTTACAGCCTCATGATTTTATGATTTTGAATGAGTTCAGCTGTCAGTTCTAGTCTCACCTGGGGTCACTCATCCTCATTGGCTTCTCATTTTCCAGTAGGCAGAACTGGGCTTTTTCACATGATAGAGGAAATTTTTGAAGACTGTAAGTGAAGAACCTGTAAAATCTTTCACGATCTTGCCTCAGTGTGTTATTGTTATGGAATGAGTTGTGTCCCCTCATAAATTTGTCTGTTGAAGCCCCAGCCCGATTTAACTACATATATATGCGTGTGTATATATACATATATATATATATATATATATTTTTTTTTTTAAGATTTTATTTGTTTATTCATGAGAGACACAGGCAGAGGGAGAAGCAGGCTCCTTGTGAGGAGCCTGAAGTGAAACTTGATCCCAGGATCCTGGGATCATGACCAGAGCCAAAGGCAGATGCTCAACCACTGAGCCACCCAGGTGCCCCTAACTATATTTGAAGGTAGGGTCGTTATGGAGGTATTTGAGATTAAATGAGGTCATAAGGGTGGAGCTTTAATCCTGTAGGGCTGGTGGCCTTCTAAGAAGAGGAAGAGAGAGATTTTTCTCTTTGTGTGTGCACGCAGAGGAAAGGCCATGTGAAGACACAGTGAAAAGGTGGGGTAAATATCCACCTTTTCACCCAGGAAGGCAGTGATTACCAGGAACCAGATCAGCTGGCATCTTCATTTTGTACTTCTAGCCTCCAGAACCATGAGAAGTAAATTTCCATAGTTTAAACTGTCCAGTCTGTAGTATTTTGTTATTGCAGCTGGAACAGACTAATCACAGCTAGACTAATACACTATAGACTCATACTGCACCTGTGTTTTCTTGCTGTGCTCAAGAGTCGATAATGAAGAGAATAGCCTACCTGAAGTCAGTTGTACGTTTGGGCAGTGGTAGAAAATTTGGATGAATAGGATGGGGACTATGGTATTGATGGACTTGATAAAAGTAGGCTTTCAGAAATTTTTGAAGATTTTTGAGCAGAAAAATGTTAGGATTAAAAGCATTTTAGGCAATTTCTTTTCTCTGCTTCGTTCTTCATCCCTGTATTAGGCTCTGCTTGTGGGGTATATTAGGCTGGTTTTGTTATTTAGGCACAGAATTTTATAAATCACTGAATCTGAAGTTGGATGACAGCAGTTTACGTTTAAATGTTTAGCTTTCTGGCCTTGGTGTTACTTGGCCTCAGCCTCCTGTCGTTTTGTCATACTCCATGGATAAGCCACTCTGGTGTTACGTGTCCCTGAGTTGCTAGCTTTCTTTGAACATGCTCTTTCTTCCACTTGCTTGCAGTATCTACCCTTTAATGTTTAGTTCGACTTAACCTTTAGTTCTTTCTCAGTCCTTTTTTGATTTTGTACCTTTTCACTCCCAGGTCAAATTTAATCCCTCCTTTTTGACCCCCCCCCCATCACATATAATTCCTGATTTTTAACACTTGTATTTTGAATATTATGTTTCGTTATTCTCTCATAATATAAATTCTTGCAGGAGGATCCTCTTATTACCTAGCAAAATGTCTTGCTTAGTAAACGTGCCTTGATTTAAGTGAATGTTTAATTGGGGAAATGAAGTTGGGTAGAATGCTTGGTTTTGTAGCAAGAAAAGTTTTATTGTTTTATTGATTTGTAGAAGGAAAGCTTTATTTTGGATGTATTGATTTGTCTAAAAAGAGGCTGATTACCAGAAAGCAATTTCAATTGAAGTTTCCCATCAGTGGGAACAAAAGTAATAATACATACTTTTTATGGTCTTTTTTAGTTTATAAAGTGTTTTCACATAAACTCCCATGTATTTTCAGTCATTTATAGTTTGATTTCAAGCATCAGTGTTTTAATGGAGGGAACTTTGGTAACCTTTGGAAGGGCTTGGGGATTGAGGATGTTGTCCGTGATTATTTTGACTTGAAGCATGGCAGCTGGTTGTTTGCTCAGAAGTCACTGGAAATTTTAGGTGCTCTTTCACTTTGTAGCACTGCAGTGGGTGATTCTCAAGATACTCACCTGGAAGCTGTTTTTCTGCCCAGTTACCTACCTTGGTCTCCAAAGGGAAATCTGAAAATACTAATTTCTTTTCCTTTGCAGTGCAAGGAAGACCTTAAAACGTGTATCAGTGCTGTCTAGTCAATGACCAAATATCTAGCACATACACATTTTGTAGTTTGGGTTTTGTAACTCTGTTAGGGTGCCATGCATGGTAATACTTTTATTCTGTATATCAGAAAACAAGTTCAGAGATTTATTCAAAACTTCACTAGTTCACTTCTTTACTTCATTACAGCTAGTTTCCTCAAAGTGTAGGTTCCTTTGTTGTTTATATTTCATTTTAAGTTTTTTTTATCTCCCTAAATTCAAAAATTTTATTTGTCCTCCCCTTTATTATTTTATTTTTTTTTAAATATATTTATTTATTTTTATTAATGTCTGCACCCAACATGGGCCCTGGTACTCATGAGCCTGGAACCAGGAGTTGCATGCTCCATTGACTGGGCCAGCCAGGTGCCCCTCCCGCCCTTATTTTAGTAGGTGAAACATTTTTTTTTTTTTAAGATTTTATTTATTTATTCATGAGACACACACACACAGAGAGAAGCAGACACAGGCAGGGGGAGGAGCAGGCTCCATGCAGGGAGCCCGACGTGGGACTTGATCCTGGGTCTCCAGGATCACACCCCGGGCCGAAGGCGGCACTAAACCGCCAAGCCACTGGGGCTGTCCAGTAGGTGAAACATTAATAAAGTTCCAACAGACACCACTATACTAAGGTATATGCAGAGAAATAGCACTCCCTTTTCTCCTTTCATCTTGTTCGTAACCACTCTGTAGGTAACTTATCTTATTTGTGTTTTAGCTTTCCTCTCTTTTTAAACAAAGTAGTATTAATCTGTGGCATACTGTATTCTTTTGTACTTTGCTCTCTTTGTTGACTAATACACCTTGGAAAGCACTCCATGTCCATCAGTGGTAGTCTTTCTCATTTTTTTTTATGGCTGCTTAGTTTCTCATTGTATGGCTGTATCCTAATTTGTTTAGTCTGTCTACTAGTTATGGACATTAAGGAGACTTTCCAAATTTTGCAGTTACTAAAAAGCTGCCACGGATAACCTTGTACATAAATATTTTTGTATTGTCAGAGGTATATTTTCAGGGTAAACTCCTAGAAATAGGATTGCTAGATAAAAAGGTAAATTTCTAGTTTTGATAGAAATTGCCAAATTCCTATCAGTAATATATGAGACTCCTGTTTCCTCACAGCCTCATCAATAGGATGTGTTGTCCTATTTAAACGTTTCTAATCTGATAGATGAAAAATGATTTTCTAGTGTAGTTTTGGTTTTCATTTCTTTTTATCATATGTGAGTTTGAACATATTTTTATGTTTGAGGGCTACTTTTCCTTTTTTGTGTGTGAATTTTCATGTCTTTGGAATTTTTGATATTTTTTCTTTAATTTTTTAAAAGATTTATTTATTTATTTATTTATTTATGTATGTATGTATGTATGTATGTGAGATAGAAAGTGAGCAAGCAAACACACAGAAGGAGAGGGAGAAGCAGACTCCCTGCTGAGCAGGGAGCCCGATGTGGGGCTCGATCCCAGGACTCCGGAATCATGACCTGATCCAAAGGCAAACGCTTAACTGACTGAGCCACCCAAGCACCCCTTTTTTCTTTAATTTTTAAGAATTACTTACTAGGTAGATTAACCCTTTACTGGTAACACATAAGGCAAATATTTTCTTAGTTTTTCAGATGCCTTTTGGCTTTGTTCATGCTTGTTGGCCATGCAAAAGCTTTTTTATGTGGTCAAATTTATCACTCAGTGCATCTTTCCTTCCATTCCTCACATTCAGAATATAGAGAGATTCTTTTCTTAGACCCAGATAAAGAGGAATTCACTGATGTATTTTTCTAGCATACCTGTTTATTTCATTTTTTACGTTTATGTCTTTCGTACATGTGGATTTATTCTTGTCAGTGGTATGAGGTATGGATCTCTTGTTTTCTTTTTTCAATTGGCTATTGTCACATCACCATTTATTAAAAAGTGCATCTTTGCCCCAGTGATTTATGATGTCCTCTTTATTGATATACTAAATTCCATTACTACTTGGGTCTTTTTCTTGTCTATGCATATTCCACGGGTCTAATTTGCATTTATACACTAGTATCGCATTTCTAACTGTAGAAACTTCACTGTGTGTATATACATGTATTTTTAGGGAGTTGGGGGAGAGGCCGAGGGAGAGAGAGAATCCCAGGCAGGCTCCACAACCAGCTCAGAGCCTGATCTTGTGACCCTGAAGATCATGACCTGAGCCAAAATCAAGTCAGTCATCTTAACCCACTGAGCCACCCAGACACGCCAGAAACTTCACAGTATACTTTAATGTTGAGTAGGGCTGAGTCCCCCTTTGACATTTAGCTTTTCTTTTTCAGTGTTCTTTTGGCCATTATTTTCATGTGAACTGTTTATTTTTTTCATATAAACTTTGATATTAACTCATTTAGGTCCATTAAAAAAGCTTTTTTGGTGCCTTTATTGGGAGTTTATTAAACTTATAAATTATGGAGAACTGACATCTTTATCATGTTGAGTTGTTCAAAGAGCAGAGGGATGATTTTTCATTTGTTGTAGGCAAGGTGTTTTGCAATTCAGGAGTATTTTTAAAGTTTTTCTTGTATAAACCTTGCTTTTTTTTTTTTTTTTTAAATTAGCTCAGCATTATTATGTCCTTTACAAAGCTGTGTATTTTTTTTTTTTAAACACACAATGTTACATTAGTCTATACAACATAGGGACTCCACAAATTTATGTTATGCCAGGCTCCCCCACAAATGTAGCTATCATCTGACTATTACAACACTGTTGACCCTGTGCTGTACCTTTCATCCCCATGAAGT